AGTTTTTATTGCATTTATGGATTTAGAAAAGGCATATGGTAGAGTGGATAGGGGAGCAATGTGGCAGATGTTGCAAGTATATGGAATAGGTGGTAAGTTACTAAATGCTGTAAAGATTTTTTATGAGGATAGTGAGGCTCAGGTTAGGGTGTGTAGAAGAGAGGAAGACTACTTCCCGGTAAAAGTAGGTCTTAGACAGGGATGTGTTATGTCACCATGGTTGTTTAATATATTTATAGATGGGGTCGTAAAAGAAGTAAATGCTAGGGTGTTCGGGAGAGGGGTGGGATTAAATTATGGGAAATAAATAACATCTTGTAGGAGTGAGGAAGAGCCAGTTGTGAGTGTGGTGGAAGTTCGTGAGGCAGTAGGTAAAATGAAAGGGGGTAAGGCAGCCGGGATTGATGGGATAAAGATAGAAATGTTAAAAGAAGGTGGGGATATAGTTTTGGAGTGGTTGGTGCAATTATTTAATAAATGTATGGAAGAGGGTAAGGTACCTAGGGATTGGCAGAGAGCATGCATAGTTCCTTTGCATAAAGGCAAAGGGGACAAAAGAGAGTGCAAAAATTATAGGGGGATAAGTCTGTTGAGTATACCTGGTAAAGTGTATGGTAGAGTTATTATTGAAAGAATTAAGAGTAAGACGGAGAATAGGATAGCAAATGAACAAGGAGGCTTTAGGAAAGGTAGGGGGTATGCGGACCAGGTGTTTACAGTGAAACATATAAGTGAACAGTATTTAGATATGGCTAAAGAGGTCTTTGTGGCATTTATGGATTTGGAAAAGGCGTATGACAGGGTGGATAGGGGGGCAATGTGGCAGATGTTGCAGGTGTATGGTGTAGGAGGTAGGTTACTGAAAGCAGTGAAGAGTTTTTACGAGGATAGTGAGGCTCAAGTTAGAGTATGTAGGAAAGAGGGAGATTATTTCCCAGTAAAAGTAGGCCTTAGGCAAGGATGTGTGATGTCACCGTGGTTGTTTAATATATTTATAGATGGGGTTGTAAGAGAAGTAAATGCGAGGGTCTTGGCAAGACGCGTGGAGTTAAAAGATAAAGAATCACACATAAAGTGGGAGTTGTCACAGTTGCTCTTTGCTGATGACACTGTGCTCTTGGGAGATTCTGAAGAGAAGTTGCAGAGATTGGTGGATGAATTTGGTAGGGTGTGCAAAAGAAGAAAATTAAAAGTGAATACAGGAAAGAGTAAGGTTATGAGGATAACAAAAAGATTAGGTGATGAAAGATTGGATATCAGATTGGAGGGAGAGAGTATGGAGGAGGTGAATGTATTCAGATATTTGGGAGTGGACGTGTCAGCGGATGGGTCTATGAAAGATGAGGTGAATCATAGAATTGATGAGGGGAAAAGGGTGAGTGGTGCACTTAGGAGTCTGTGGAGACAAAGAACTTTGTCCTTGGAGGCAAAGAGGGGAATGTATGAGAGTATAGTTTTACCAATGCTCTTATATGGGTGTGAAGCATGGGTGATGAATGTTGCAGCGAGGAAAAGGCTAGAGGTAGTGGAGATGTCATGTCTGAGGGCAATGTGTGGTGTGAATATAATGCAGAGAATTCGTAGTTTGGAAGTTAGGAGGAGGTGCGGGATTACTAAAACTGTTGTCCAGAGGGCTGAGGAAGGGTTGTTGAGGTGGTTCGGACATGTAGAGAGAATGGAGCGAAACAGAGTGACTTCAAGAGTGTATCAGTCTGTAGTGGAAGGAAGGCGGGGTAGGGGTCGGCCTAGGAAAGGTTGGAGGGAGGGGGTAAAGGAGATTTTGTGTGCGAGGGGCTTTGACTTCCTGCAGGCATGCGTGAGTGTGTTTGATAGGAGTGAATGGAGACAAATGATTTTTAATACTTGACGTGCCGTTGGAGCTTGAGCAAAGTAACATTTATGAAGGGGTTCAGGGAAACCGGCAGGCCGGACTTGAGTCCTGGAGATGGGAAGTACAGTGCCTGCACTCTGAAGGAGGGGTGTAAATGTTGCAGTTTAAAAACTGTAGTGTAAAGCACCCTTCTGGCAAGACAGTGATGGAGTGAATGATGGTGAAAGTTTTTCTTTTTCGGGCCACCCTGCCTTGGTGGGAATCGGCCAGTGTGATAATAATAAAAAAAAATAATAATAAAAATAAAAATACAAAATGGGAATTGACAGAGTTACTTTTTACTGATGATACTGTGCTTATGGGAGATTCTAAAGAAAAATTGCAAAGGTTAGTGGATGAGTTTTGGGAGTGTGTGTAATGGTAGAAAGTTGAAAGTGAAAATAGAAAAGAGTAAGGTGATGAGGGTATCAAATGATTTAGATAAAGAAAAATTGGATATCAAATTGGAGAGGATGAGTATGGAAGAAGTGAATGTTTTCAGATACTTGGGACTTGACGTGTCGGCGGATGGATTTATGAAGGATGAGGTTAATCATAGAATTGATGAAGGAAAAAAGGTGAGTGGTGCGTTGAGGTATATGTGGAGTCAAAAAACGTTATCTATGGAGGCAAAGAAGGGAATGTATGAAAGTATAGTAGTACCAACACACTCATATGGGTGTGAAGCTTGGGTTGTGAATGCAGCAGCGAGGAGGCGGTTGGAGGCAGTGGAGATGTCCTGTCTAAGGGCAATGTGTGGTGTAAATATTATGCAAAAAATTCAGTATGTGGAAGTTAGGAGAAGGTGTGGAGTTAATGAAAGTATTAGAGGGCTGAAGAGGGTTTGTTGAGGTGGTTTGGTCATTTTGAGAGTATGAATCAAAGTAGAATGACATGGAGAGCATTTAAATCTGTAGGAGAAGGAAGGCGAGGTAGGGGTCGTCCTCGAAAAGGTTGGAAGGAATGGGTAAGGGAGGTTTTGTGGGCGAGGGGCTTGGACTTCCAGCAGGCGTGCATGAGCGTGTTCGATAGGAGTGAATGGAGACGAATGGTATTTGGGACCTGACGATCTGTTAGTGTGAGCAGGGTAATATTTAGTGAAGGGATTCTGGGAAACCGGTTACTTTTATATCGCCGGACTTGAGTCCTGGAAATGGGAAGTACAATGCCTGCACTCTAAAGGAGGGGTTTTGGGATATTGGCAGTTTGGAGGGATGTGTTGTGTATCTTTATATGTATATGCTTCTAAACTGTTGTGTTCTGAGCACCTCCGCAAAAACAGTGATTGTGTGAGTGAGGTGAAAGTGTTGAATGATGATGAAAGTGTTTTCTTTTTGGGGGATTTTCTTTCTTTTTGGGTCACCCTGCCTCGGTGGGAGACGTCTGACTTGTTGGAAAAAAAAAAAAAACTCTAAGACTTAGAAAAACTCTAAGACTTAGAGGCTTATACCTTTTCTTGCCACTTTCAGCAACACTGGTATGCCTACTGGGTGCTATGATTGCCTGGTAGATACAAGATACGGTAATTAAAAGATCAAAACTCAATTCACAAACAGAACTAGCTCCTAAGACAGAATGGAACTGAACACGTATTCACGAAGGCTGGGATGGGGGTGGCAGGTCTTCCCTGCTGACCCACAACAAGGCGGCAGCTTGAGCTGGGAAATTTTTTTCCATGCATGCAAACGGAACTGTGTAAAGTTAATTTTACGAAGTGTTTTATAAAATTGTGGCACAAGTTTTCAATAGTGCAATAACCAAAACGTGGCAAGTAAATCCATGTAATATAATAGTCTTCTGTAGTTCCATATATTACACTAGTTACACTTTCAGATGTGTGTACTCTAGTGGTAATTGTTCAGTTGTTGTACATGCTGGTGATTGATATTAGTGAGTGTGTGTGTGTAGATTACTCCTTAAACTGTCCAAATGTAGATCTGCATTGTTTCAACATTTGAAAGTATGTAAAAAAAGTAGATCTTTTTTTTTTTTTACATTTGAAAACGTGTAAAAGAAACTTTGATCTGCATTTTTTTTTTTTGTTATCTTTAAAAATATATAAAAAACGGAGATCTACTTTTGGAGCACTACGCATGTGAACGTAGATCTGCTTGGACAGTTTAAGGGTTAAAAAGCTGTGTGAAGGAGAGAGATGTGCTGAGGTGTAGCCATGACATCAGTCACCTGACTACCTAGACACATTGCCGTATTTGTTTACAGAAACCTCCATTTCTTGCTACGTAAGCTAAAATAGTATTTACCCTGTTTTTTGGCTATCTAATGTTACTCTTTGTTGATTATACGCTCCCAGATGTCAATTTGCATGGGGATAGCATTAGGAACACTATCAAACTGTATGCATCGCCTTAAAAATTGACACTTCACAAGCAAATAATTATTTTTGCTATCACTAGACTGATCACTAATTACTGGGAAATCAGTCCACATCACTATCGTTTATACTCGTAGCTGTCGCCAGACCATAGGAGAATGCATTTTTGTTTACAGCTTGGATATGTTGTGGAAGCACAGACCCCAAAGTTGGATGACTGTGGGTTATTGGGGGTTTTCATTGCTATTTCTTGCATTTCTGTTGTCACTTTCAGTTACTACATCTTCAAACCTAAAGAATTCATCCTTGGAGTTGTTATCTTCAATGTTGAAGCTCTCACAGGGAATAATACATGATGAATTCACCTGGAGTGAGAGTATTATTTGGGCACGACATGAGAGTGGAAAACTAAGATGGCATTCCTATGATGCACTGCTGCAGCCCCATTATCTCATGGCCAGGCCTACTAGGCCTCTTGTGTAAAATTTGAGGCTGCTTTAATTTGTGTATTGATCTCCATGACATAAGCAACACTGGCTTCAGTAATTTAGATCTGTGTGTTGGACAGAAAAAGGGTTCAACAAGGTACTGCTTATAATATTGACAGTAACATAAGAGAGATGTGAAGTGATGTGGGGTATACAATGTTTCCTTAATAAATTTAGCTAATATTGTACATCTCTCTTGTGTTTTCTTGACTCATTTCTTTACTTATAAACTGCACAATAATTTATCTATTCTTTAGGGTTCCTCAGACTAAGAGTTTCAAAAGTAATGTTTGTATTGTGGGTATTTCAGCAGTGGAGTGGAAGCAGTGGTGGTCACACAGGTGGGAGTAATGGTTCTGGAGGTTTATGGAACAGTAGTAGTCAAGCTTCAGCTCCTACTTCCAGTCCTGGTCATTCTGTCTGGAACAATGACCACTCTGCCATCTGGGGTCATTGTGATAACTCTGCATCCACAGGTACAAAATACTTAATCATTAACACCCAGAGATACTAGAAATACCTTCAGGGTTTAAATAATCCACTTTCTGTGCAAAACACGGTCAGTATTTTTTCATGTATATATATAGAAATGTAATACATAGATGCATCCCAGCCCACAGGAGATATCAATATTGCATTAAGCAAGTTTTATTGTAAAGGAGGGGTTTGGGATATTGGCAGTTTAGAGGGACTTCTAAACTGTCATATCTGAGTGCCTCTGCAAAGACAGTGATTATGTAAGAGCGATTGTGAAAGTATTTTTTTTCCTTTTTGGGTTTTTCTTTTTTTGGGGGGTCACCCTGCCTCGGTGGGAAACAGCCTATGTGTTAAAAAAGTATGTACTATATATGTATGATATAGATTTCTGAAACCTTGAATGTATTGCTCCAGACTCATGCCTAACACATTTTGAGACTAATACTGTATACTTTAGTAGTGTGTTTTACTGTCACTAGGCAACAGACACAACCACTCAGGTGGACTTGGTCTAGTTGGTTTGAATGCAAGGTCATCAAGGTCATCTAGGAGGCAGGATGATGTCCAGAGTAGGCACAAAGCAGCTGTCATCACATATCACCAATTGAGATTGATGGTGTAGAGATAGAAGGACAGTTGGTGTGGGGCTGGAAGTAGATGAGGGCGACTTCAAGAACTATATTGTTGAGGATTGAGTTATCATTCATTACTTCTATTCTTTCATCTCTTTGTAGGTACTTAGGCCTTTGTTTACACATATTTGAACTAAAATTTCCTTTCCAGGCTAATGGCAAATGGCAAGTATCTTCAAACAATTCTACCAGCATCAGAATGGTCAGATTCATTTACATCATTAACCACTTCTCATCTTGATCAGCATCTGTTGTAATCTGTCAGTTCATAAACACTTAATTCTTCAAAGTAGGAATCTATAACTCCACAAAGTCTGAGGAACCTCCTACTGTCTTCCATCCAAGCTCAGTTTTGTGCACTGATAGCATAGCAGCAAACTTGTCACATTGCAAATTATAGGTATAAATGGGATCATCGCCTAAGAGTGAACCCACAAACAGGAAGCCTACATAAAGTGATAGATACTTGCACATAAACACACAACATTTCCTTTCTTGCCATCTTATTCACTTTTCTATTTTGTCAATACTGTACAGTACTTGGTGATGCAGTCTTCAGTCTCGCCACATTTCGATATCTCGGTGATAGAAGTTGGCGTCTATTTAAAGTGATAACCAAACTAGCATACCAAGTGTTCAACAAAAGTTATGATTGTTTTCATAAGTAACTTTCGAAGATGAGGCTGTGTAATCAGGCATGAAAATACCAAAGAAATGGTAATGCAGTGAACCCTCCGTTTAATCGACTGTTAGGAGGGTTGAGGTGTCCAGTAAGGTGAATTGAGATTGTTTTTCCATGATTGCCAAAATAACTTGCATATAAATTTACCCATATAAATTTATCCAGCAGACTATCAATAATGGTCAGTCCTGGATGTGATGGACTTTATCCATTGTTTCCAAATGTCTGGTAATGGACAGTGTTTGATAAATCCAAAATATGTTGAATTGAGGTCCATTAAATTGAGGCATAGTAATTGCTTACACAGACTTAATGTGATAAATGTCTTTTATCTGAGAAATAATTTTTTTTTTTTTTACTGATAAAAAGATAATTTGTTTCACAGGAGGATTTTGGGATAGCCCTGAACCAGTGAAACAAGGTAAACAAATCACTAGCCGCACCCCTACCAAGCCATCCAGTCACAACAATACCAACAACAGAAGTGGGGCGCCGCCACCTCAAAATGCTAATTCCAACAATCGTGTAAATAAAAAGAAGTCAAAGGATGACAGCGATACAGTCAAAAAATTATTTACAGATAACATGTCTCCAGCAGATACCTTCACACAGTGGTGCAAGAGTTCACTTCACACTTTAAAGGTCCATGCTTCTATTGACAGTAAGTATATTACTTTTGAAATATTATTCAGCACATTTAATTGATAGCTAGGTACCTTTGATATACCTTTGAAGAATTTCGAGAGTACATCTACTCTCTGAGCCCGGCCATGGGCCAGGCTCCCCACCTACCTCACTGGAAGATGGCCGGTTTGTTAAAAGAAATTACTTTAACAGACTTAATACTATAACAAATGGTGAACATGTAGATCATATCCATGTGGAAACATTATGCAGTACTTTATTTTGGAAATAGAGAAGAATCCTTTACCCATAAGCTATGCTTGTCGTACGAGACGACCAAAGTGCCGGGAGCAAGGGGTTAGTAACTGCTTCTCCTTTATTAATTAATAAATGTACAGAGAACAACCTTATAAAGTTATGATGTTTGAATGCGCATGGATGTTATGCAAATAGGGAGAGAGATTGTCAGTGTTATAAATGTAAAGAAGCTGGATGTCTTAGTTTAAGCAAAACAAAGCTGAATGAGGTAGATTTTCAGTGGGGAGAAATAAATGGGATTAGGTCAGGTGTATTTGAGAGTTAGAACTAAGGAAGGAGTAGTGGTAATGTTCAGTGATCAGTTATGGATGGTAAAGAGGGAATATAGAGGTATAAATTCAAGGATTGTGGATTAAAATAAGGGATGCAGAAAGTGGGTTTTACTAAGTGTTTATGCATGGAGAGATAGATATAGATAGAGGTATTAGTCAGAGGGCTGAAGAGGGGTTGTTGAGGTGGTTTGGTCATTTAGAGAGAATGGATCAAAGTAGAATGACATGGAGAGCATTTAAATCTGTAGGAGAAGGAAGGCGGGGTAGGGGTTGTCCTCGAAAAGGTTGGAAGGAAGGGGTAAGGGAGGTTTTGTGGGCGAGGGGCTTTGACTTCCAGCAGGCGTGCATGAGCGTGTTCGATAGGAGTGAATGGAGACGAATGGTATTTGGGACCTGACGATCTGTTGGAGTGTGAGCAGGGTAATATTTAGTGAAGGGATTCAGGGAAACCGGTTATTTTTATATAGCTGGACTTGAGTCCTGGAAATGGGAAGTACAGTGGACCCCCTGTATACAATATTAATCCGTTCCTGAGAGCTCATTGTATGCCAAAATTATCAGAAGGCGATTTAATTTTCCCCATAAGAAATAATGGAAATCAAATTAATCCATGCAAGACACCCAGAAGTACTATGAAAAAAAAAAATTACCATATGAAATATTAAGTTTAATGCACACAAACTGAAGAAGACATGCACAGTTAGTAGTACTCTACTAACAATAGAATACATGACACTTACCTTTAATGAAGATCTGGTGATGATTGATGGGATGGGAGAAGGGGAGAGTGTGGATGGTGTTAGTGTTTAGAAGGGGAATCCCCTTCCATTAGGACTTAAGGTAGCAATTCCTTTTCCGGGGTTACTTCCCTTCTTTTAATGCCACTAGGACCAGCTTGAGTCACTGGACCTCTGTCGCACAACAAATATGTCCATAGAGCTCTGTACCTCCCGTTCCTTTACGATTTGTCTAAAATTGGCCACAACATTGTCATTGTAATAGTCACCAACACGGCTTGCAATAGCTGTGTTAGGGTAATTTTCACCCATAAAGGTTTGCAGTTCAACCCACTTTGCACACATTTCCTTAATTTTTAAATAGGCACAATGGATTCCACAACTGGCATAGGCTTCTCAGGGTTAGCTCCAAACCCTTCGAAATCTTTCTTAATTTCCATACTAATTCTCACCCTTTTTACCACAGGGTTGGCACTAGAAGCTCTCTTGGGGTCCATGGTGACTTATTTTGCAGAAACAAGCACCAAAAACACTGTGATAATATGGAATGTACCGAATGTGTGCTTAGATGTGAGCACATTGGCTGGCTTGTAAACACTGGCACTCACAGGGACGAGTTCGAGTGGCGAGGCAAAATTTTGGCGTTAAAATGTGTCGAATACCGAATTTAATGTATACCGATGCCATCGAATACCGGGGGTCCACTGTACAATGCCTGTACTCTAAAGGAGGGGTTTTGGGATATTAGCAATTTGGAGGGATATGTTGTGTCTCTTTATACATATATGCTTCTAAACTGTTGTGTTCTGAGTGCCTCTGCAAAGACAGTGATTGTGTGTGGGTGAGGTGAAAGTGTTGAATGATCATGAAAGTGTTTTCTTTTTGGGGATTTTCTTTCTTTTTGGGTCACCCTGCCTTCGTGGGAGACGGCCGACTTGTTGAAAAAAAAAAAAAAAATTTTGAAACTTTTTCCGACCCTGAGAGCAAGTTTCAGATCAGATGTTCTAACCTTCAAATGTTTAAGAAAGCAGGAAAGGGATAAATACATACTTGAGATATGATATAAGGGCATAATGACAGCAGTTTGTTGGATTGTGTATTGGGAATAAAAGATTGATGCATGTTTTTAGAGAGGGCAACAGGTATATCAGATCATAACAGATCATAACAGAGGGAGGGGGTAAAGGAGGTTTTGTGTGCGAGGGGCTTGGACTTCCAGCAGGCATGCATGAGCGTGTTTGATAGGAGTGAATGGAGACAAATGGTTTTTAATACTTGACGTGCTGTTGGAGTGTGAGCAAAGTAACATTTATGAAGGGATTCAGGGAAACCGGCAGGCCGGACTTGAGTCCTGGAGATGGGAAGTACAGTGCCTGCACTCTGAAGGAGGGGTGTTAATGTTGCAGTTTAAAAACTGTAGTGTAAAGCACCCTTCTGGCAAGACAGTGATGGAGTGAATGATGGTGAAAGTTTTTCTTTTTCGGGCCACCCTGCCTTGGTGGGAATCGGCCAGTGTGATAATAAAATAAATAAATAACAGCCTCTCCTCACCTAGCGACATTTACCAATGACTCAGACTTAACAATGTGCTTTTTGACCAGTATGCATACCTAAATAATGTGTATTAGAGATGATTTCCTCTATTCTGTTTATGACAATATACAGTACACTACTGTATAAAGATTTTTTTTTTTTTTTTTTGAAAACAAGTCGGCCATCTCCCACTGAGGCAGGGTGACCCAAAAAGAAAGAAAATCCCCAAAAAAGAAAATACTTTCATCATCATTCAACATTTTCACCTCACTCTCACATAATCACTTTTTGCAGAGGTGCTCAGAATACAAGTTTAGAAGCTTATACATATAAAGATACACAACATATCCCTCCAAACTGCCAATATCCCAAAATAGGTATGCTAAAAATGGGGCTCTGGTGGCCTCGTGGCTAACGCTCTCGCTTCACTCGGCGAGGGCCTGGGTTCGATTCCCAACCAGAGTAGAAACATTGGGCATGTTTCTTTCCACCTGTTGTCTATGTTCCCTCATCAGTAAAATGGGTACCTGGGTGTCAGTCGACTGGTGTGGGTCTCATCCTGGGACACTGACCTAATTTGCCCGACATGCTGAGCATAGCAAGGGGTTTTCTATATACGTAGTAGTATGTCATTGTTGTCAGCTATGCCTGTATACCATGTACATGTACTTGTAGTAAATAAAGATGTTACACCTACCATCCGACTTACGACCTGCTTGACTTACGACCACTCGACTTACGACCGTGTTTTTTATGCCAAATTTCTGGGAAATAAACAACTATTTGTGTTGTACACAGTGTTTATCCTAAACCTTACAGTATAAAATACAGTGCTAACAACATAAAAAGTAAAGTAAAACATGAAATACCAAAATAAAACAATAAAATAGTCATTACAAAAATGTTTTGTTGATATTCAGTAGTAAAGATCAACTTACGACCATTTCGACTTACGACCGGTTTCTCGGAACCGAACTCGGTCGTAAGTTGGATGGTAGGTGTATTATTATTATTATTTGGTGCGTAGGTGACTCCTTTGTGGGTCTAACCCATAGTCCATAGCCTTGTCCACAGGGCCCAAGCCATAGTTCTATGCCATGAGCTCAGCTCACTTAGGTAAGCTGTGAGCAGTAAATTTGGGCCTAGATATGAGAGAATGGATCTAGTATGTGGTAAGTTTGTACCATATAAAACAAATCCTGCAGCACCGCACCGAGTTTGCGGTGTATTTTCGTGTGGTTTTTATAGTTGTATTTGTGGTTCTTGGTCTCACTTGATAGAATGGAAGATATATTACAGAAATAGAGATGATTTTGATTGGTTTTAGTACTGAAAATAGCTTGAAATTGAGCTCAAAGTAGTGGAAGTGTTTGAATTTTGCCAAATGCTCAAGAGTAAACAAATCACATCATGCATTCAATACACATCAACTGGTGGGTCTAATATACGTTCACGAATGCGCTGATATTATTTGTACAATTATTACAATATTGCATAACAGTAAATCTTCTATTTCTTGGTGTGAATAAAAATTATTTATGTAAATAAAATATCAAAATGGAATTTATCTGTAAAGCCTGGAAACATAACTAATAAAAGGAAGAAATGTTATTTTAGTGCTAGGAATGCATGCATTGTTTATTCTGGACCCTATTTTGAAAGTGGAATATTTTGAACTTTGTGTGAAATTGGCCAAATTACCAATTTCTGATCACTTTATTGGGTAGTTGAAGTAGTTGATTGGGCAGTTTCTTGTGCCCAGTCAATAAAATAGAAGTAATATTAGCAATATTTTCATAAAGTATGTATTACTTATTACCAAACCTCTTTCTACACATAGCTCAATTAACCCTTTCAGGGTCCGTGCCATAGATCTACGGCTTTACGTTCCGGGTCCAAACTGTAGATCTACGCCATGAGCTCAGCTCACTCTGATAAGCTGCAAGTGGTAAATTTGGGCCTAGATATGAAAGAATACATCTATGTGGTATGTGTGCACCACATAAAACAAATCCTGCAGCACACACTGTATAATGAGAGAGAAAAAACTGAGACACTGATTTTCGATTAAAGCGGCGACTTTGCAGCGTTTTTTCATGTTTTTTACAGTTGTATTTGCGATTTCTTGGTCTCATTTGATAGAATGGAAAACATATTACAGAAATAGAGATGATTTTGATTGGTTTTAGCACTGGAAATGGCTTGAAACTGAGCTCAAAGTAGCGGAAATGTTAAATTTTTGCCGATGTTCAAGAGTAAACAAATGACCTCACACGTCTAATACATGCCAGTTGGTGGGTCTAATATACATTCACAAATGTGGTGATGATATTTATACAATTATTACAATATTGCATAACAGTAAATCTTCTATTTTTTGGTTTGAATAAAAATTTGTTATGTGAATAAAAAATCAAAATGGAATTCATTTGTAAAGCCTCAAAACTTAACTAATGAACAGAGGAAATGTTAATTTACTGCCATGAATACCTATATTGTTTATTCTGGTCCCTACTTTGAAATTGGAATATTTTGAACTTTGTGTTAAATTGGCCAAATTACCAATTTCCAATCACGATTTTGTAGTTGAAACAGTTGACTTGGCGATTTCTTGTGCTCAATCGATAAAATAAAAGTAATACTAGTGAAACAGCTAAAAATTTGGCCGACTGGAATAATGTAATTGGCCTAAAATGGGAGTCAAAGTTGGCAAAATCGCCGATTCGTAAATATTGCTGACACATCAAAATTCACAAGAGCATAATTTTGTCAATTTTCCATCAAATTTTGTACTTTTTGTTTTATTACATTCAGAAAAAGATTCTCTACCATTTCATAAGAAAAAAATAATGTTTTTTTGAAAATTCTTTTATCCTGGTGTGCACTTTGAAATTTGGCCTCTGGACCCTGTAAGGGTTAAAGGCTCCCCATTTTCATTTACCCCTGGCACCCTAAATTTACCTACTACTCCCTCCACAATATTTTTACCTACTTTTGCATTGTAATTCCAAACCACAAGTACTCTCTCACTTGGTTCAAAACTCCCCACACACACACACACTCAATTCCAAAAATCTCTCTCTCTCCTCTACGCTTCTTTCTTCTCCAGGTGCATATACGCTTACTATAACCTACTTTTCACATCCAACCTTTATTTTACTCCACATAATCCTTGAGTTAATACATTTATACTCCCTCTTTTCCTGCCATAGCTTATCCTTCAACATTATTAGTACTCTTTCTTTGGCTCTAACTCTATTTGAAACCCCTGACCTAATCCCATTTACTTCTTTTCACTGAAACTTTAACCCTCTTCAGCTTTGTTTCACTTAAAGCCCGGACATCCAGCTTGTCATTCATAGCATCCACAATCATCTCTCTCTTATCATTTGCACAACATCCACGCACATTCACACATCCCACTTTGACAATTTTCTTTTTCTTCTTTTTAGTAATCCTTACAGGAAAAGGGGTTACTAGCCCATATATATTTATCATTTAGTAGTTTACTACCCATTCCACACATTTGCAACATCTGCCACATTGCTCCCCTATCCACTCTTATCATATGCCTTTTCTAAATCCATAAATGCAATGAAAACTTCCCTACCTTTATATATGTTTTTAACACTCTCTCCCACTGAGGTAGTGTGAACTATTATGTATAACCTTATTTTAATTTCTTATGAAGTTTTTCATTAGCCAGTGTGAAACATTACTGGTAAAAGCTCATAGACTACAACAAGGGTAATTGCACTATGTTGTACAGCACCGTACCTTTTCTTTCAGTTCCAACATTTGTAACGTTCCTAGCAGAAGTAGAGTCACCTTATGAAGTTCACGACTATATCCGTTCATACCTTGGAGACAGCAAAGAGGTAAAAGAATTTGCAAAGCAGTATCTTGAGCGACGCAGTAAAGCCCGAAATGCCCAAAAGGAACGTGAGGTGGAAGATGATATCTTGGCGCCGGCGCCGGCTGTCAATCCCACCAACATTGAATTCCAGGAGGTTAAGGTACTATACATTTACTAGTATTTATGACAGATGCTTCAGGACAGTGTTGAAATTTACACGCAACTAAATATTATATACTAACATGCAGAGCTGTGAATTAGGAGCTACTCTTCTATATGAATTTACCAGTCATAAATCAAGGAACATACTTTTTCTACCAAAAATAAGATATATTTTCGCTTTTCTTTTAATATAGCTAGGCACTTTTAGATTTTTTGGTTTACGTATTGTTAGCTTAGGGCTTTTAATTTTGTTTGAATATTGTTACATTCATGGTTGTTATAGTAGGCATCATGTTTTGATTAATGTGTTTGTAAAGGTAGAAAGTTGAAAGTGAACATAGAAAAGAGTAAGGTGATGAGGGTATCAAATGATTTAGATAAAGAAAAATTGGATATCAAATTGGGAGGGAGGAATATGGAAGAAGTGTATGTTTTCAGATATTTGGGAGTTGACGTGTCAGCGGATGGATTTATGAAGGATGAGGTTAATCATAGAATTGATGAAGGAAAAAAAGTGAGTGGTGTATTGAGGTATATGTGGAGACAAGAAAACGATTTCTGTATAGGTAAAGAAGGGAATGTATGAAAGTATAGTTGTACCAACACTCTTATATGGGTGTGAAGCTTGGGTTGTGAATGCAGCAGCAAGGAGGTGATTGGATGCAGTGGAGATGTCCTGTCTAAGGGCAATGTGTGGTGTGAATATTATGCAGAAAATTTGGAGTGTGGAAATTAGGAGAAGTTGTGGAGTTAATAAAAGTATTAGTCAGAGGGCTGAAGAGGATTTGTTGAGGTGGTTTGGTCATTTAGAGAGAATGGATCAAAGTAGAATGACATGGAGAGCGTATAAATCTGTAGAGGAAGGAAGGCGGGGTAGGGGTCATCCTCAAAAAGGTTGGTTGGAGGGGGTAAAGGAGGTTTTGTGGGCGAGGGGCTTGGACTTCCAGCAAGCTTGTGTGAGCTTGTTAGATAGGAGTGAATGGAGACGAATGGTGTTTGGGACCTGACGAGCTGTTGGAGTGTGAGCAGGGCAATATTTAGTGAAGGGATTCAGGGAAACCGGTTGAGTCCTGGAAATGGGAAGTACAATGCCTGCACTGTAAAGGAGGGGTTCGGGATATTAGCAGTTTGGAGGGATATGTTGTGTATCTTTATACGTGTATGCTTCTAAACTGTTGTGTTCTGAGCACGTCTGCAAAAAACAGTGATTATGTGTGAGTGAGGTGAAATTGTTGAATGATGGTGAAAGTATTTTCTTTTTGGAGATTGTTTTTTTCTTTTTTGGGTCACCCTGCCTCGGTGGGAGACGGCAGACTTGTTAAAAAAAAAAAATGGCTTTTGTAAGGTTTTTCAGTTTACCTTAATTTGGCTATGGTAAGGTCTCGGTTTTGTCTATCGTAAGTATTTTTATGCACGTTCCTTTCCTTTTTGTTTGCCATAAATAGGAATATGTTAGTATTTTCAGTTATGTTTACTATATACAGTGCTTGTCATTTCAGTACTGTGGGTGGATGGCATTTGACATAATTTAAATGTCCTGGTGCATTTGTCAGTGAGATAAAAGGTTTTATTGGCCTGGTAGTATAACCTTTGGTTACTGGCTGCTTGCAAAGTGTCTACTGGACTTGTTTGACAGATGGCTTTTGTGTTCATGGTAACTATGCACTGTGTGGTCTTGAGGGCTGAGTTTATCGGACATTTTTGGCTGTTGCCAGATTAATAGGGGCAGAAGTAAGTCACTGACACACTACAATTGCAGAATGCCAGTGATGTGCATTATCATTCAGTGAGGACCTAGTTATGTTGGTTCCCAGAGGACACTGACATTCCCACTCCAAAAGCACATCCATGGAATCCTAGAAAAATGTTGCAACTAATGTTAACTTTACTTATATACCTAGAAATGGTTTATCATGTGCATGACTCATTCAGTGTGGTGCAAGGTTTTTATACAAAACTATGCTCCTTGCCACACTATAAGATTGTTCAGTGGCTCTGTGACTGTGAAATATCCTTCTTCGATGAACTGGCCAGGAAACTCCCCAGATGTGAACCCCACTGAGAAACTGGGTTGTGATAGAGAGATCTCTACAAGGGGAAGGATATCAGCTCACTCCCATGGCTTTAGGATGTCATCCAAGAATCATGGGAAAATTTACCTCATAAACATCTAAAGAATGTGTGTTAATCACTTCCTAAACAGTTGAAAGATGTCCTGAAGCACAGAACAAGCTGTTTTATGTTCATAATATTAGTAAAAGTCAACTAAAATGCCAGGAGCAATGGACTAGTAACCAGTTTTCTTGAATGGCCTATTAAAAAGAAGAAAACCATCAAAGTGGGATGTTTGAATGTGCATGGTTGGAGTACGTATGATAAGAGATGATTGTGGATGTTATGAATGAAAAGAAGCTGGATGTCATGACTAAGGGAAACAATGCTGAAGGGGGTAGGAGAGTTTCAGGGATGAGAAATAAATGGGATTAGGTCAGGGTTTTCCAATATATTTAGAGCTAAGTAGTAGCAATAATGTTGAAGGATAAGTTATGGCAGCAAAGAAGGAATATAAATGTATAAATTCAAGTATTATGTGGAGTAAAATAAAGGTTAAGAATAAGATGTTTATTTTGACAAATTGCATGGTTTACAAAGAAATATAATAGTTGGGTGTACATGCCAAAATCCCCTTTGTATGCAGAGCATTTCAGGCAAACTTAAAGATTAACTTAAGATTAGGAAGCCAGTAATGCATAGTTCATATGGTCATTACATGAGTTAGTGAGGACAGGAGAAGTGAATATTCTATCAGGTAATGCTACATGGTTTTGATAAGTCTAGTAGAGACTTGTTACTATTGAAGTAGTAAATAAAGATTGCAGTATTACAATGTAACAATTTAGAACAATTTACAATATGATGTATTACAGTTTAGTGCTATTTAATACAATGAAATTTGGTATTACAATGGAACAGTTTACATTATGATGTACTGTATTACAATCTAGTACTATTTAAAACAAAGAAAAACAGACATCCTAATTTCAAAGTATTAAGTGGTTGAGCATCCATCAGGACAATATGAGGAGCTTTTGAGAAACTGGTAGTGATTAGGTACAGTTTGTCTGGGTTAATTTTGACTGATGAGATGATTTCTTATTAGGCCTTAAACTGATTTGCAGACAGGTGTCCTTTAGTGTGTTCTGGAAATGAATTCCAGATCTTCGGGCCTTTTACATAGGGAGAGATGAACATGAGGGATATCGAAGAGTGATCTGTGTCTTGTATTATGGTTGTGTGTTCTGTTATAGTTATCAAGGAGGAGTTTGAGAGGGGGGTTTACATTAGAGTATAGTGATCTGTGTATGTAGTAGGCACAATAATAAGTGTGGATGTGTTGTATATTTAGCAAGTTAAGACTCTTGAAAAGAGGTGGAGTGTGTTGTCTAATGCAGGAGTTAGTAATCAATCGCACAGCAGCTTTTGGATGTGAAAAGTGGGTTTTAGTAAGTATTTATGCACTTGGAGAAGAGAGAAGTGTAGAGAGAGAGAGATTTTGGGAAATGTTGAGTGAGTGCATGGGGAGTTTTGAACCAAGTGAGAGAGTACTTGCAGTAGGGATCTCAATGCTAAAGTGGGTAAAAATGTTGTAGAGGGAGTAGTAGGTAAATTTGGGGTGCCAGGGGTAAATGAAAATGGGGAGCTTTTAATTGAGCTATGTGTAGAAAGAGGATTCGTAATAAGTAATAAATATTTTATGAAAAAGAGGATAAATAAGTATTCAAGATATGATATAGCACATAATGAAAGTAGTTTGTTAGATTATTTATTGGTGGTTGTATGTGTTTATAGAGGAGCAACAGATATATCGGATCATTATCTAGTTGTAGCTGCAGTTAGAGTAAGAGGTAGATGGGACAAAAGGAAAATGGCTACAATAAGTAAGAGAGAGGTGAAAATTTATAAACTAAGGGAGGAAGAAGTTAAGGGAGATATAAGCAGCTATTGGCAGAAAGGTGGGCTGGTGCAAGTATTGGTAGTGGGGGGGCTTGAAGAGGGATGGAATAGTTTTAAAAATGCAGTATTAGAATGGGCAGAAGTTTGTGGCTATAGGAGGGTGGGTGCAGGAGGAAAGAGGAGTGAGTGGTGGAATGATGAGGTAAAGGGTGCAATAAGAGAGAAAAAGATAGCTTATGAGAGATTTTTACAAAGCAGAAGTGATATAAGAAGGGCAGAGTATATGGAGAGTAAAAGAAAGGTGAAAAGAGTGGTGAGAGAATGCAAAAGGAGAGCAAATGATAGAGTGGGGGAGGTGCTGTCAAGAAATTTTGTTTAGAATAAGAAAAAAATTTTGAGTGAAATAAAAAAAGTTAAGGAAGCCTAAGGAATGGATGGATTTGTCAACTAAGAGCAGAGTAGGGGAGTTTGTAAATGAGGAGCTGGAGGTATTGGGTAGATGGCAGGAATATTTTGAGGAACTTTTAAATGTTGATGAAAGGGAGGCACTAATTTCATGCATTGGCCAGGGAAGTATAGCATCTTTCAGGAGTGAAGAAGAGCAGGAAGTGAGTGTGGGGAGGTGCGTGAAGCATTACATAGAATGAAAGTGGGTAAAGCAAATTGAACTGATGGGATCATGACAGAAATGTTAAAAGCAGGGGAGGATATAGTGTTGGTGTGGTTGGTATTTCTGTTTAATAAATGTATGTTAAATTAGACACATGTGCAACTCTTGGGTATCTTTATTGAGGAAACGTTTTGCCACACAGTGGCTTCATCAGTCCATACAAAGGATAAACTTTGTATGGACTGATGAAGCCACTGTGTGGTGAAACATTTCCTCAATAAAGATACCCAAGAGTTGCACATGTGTCTAATTTAACAATGTGTCGGTTCTTTGAACCATTCATCTACAATAAATGTATGACAGAGGGGAAGGTACCTAGGGATTTGCAGGAGGGTGTATAATTCCTTTATATAAAGGAAAGTAAATGCTGGGGC